AGAGGGACCATAATAAGGAACCATGTAGCTACCCTTAGAACTCAGTGGCAACCACAAACCCCCTAAACCCCTAGCCCCTAAACCCTAAACCCTAAACCCTAAACCCTAATCCCTAAACCCTAAACCCGGGTTCGGCTTTGGAGTTCACTGGACTCCTACTACCAGGCATGTCCAAGAGACCATGCCATGATGGTTCAGGGTTTAGGATTTATATAGGGTTTAGGGGTTCAGTGGATTAGGGGTTTAGGGTTTTAGGGTGTTAGGGTTCTAGGGTTTTAGGGTTTTAGTGCTTTAGGGTTTTAGGGCTCTAGGGCTTTAGGGTTCTAGGGTTTAGGGTTTTAGGATTGCAGGGGTTCTGGATGTGGGCTTCGAGTTCCTGGCTCGAGTTGGGAGGACGGACAGTTGAAGCACTGCCCATTCTACAAATCGTGTAGGAACCCTAAACCCTAAACCCTAAACCCTGAACCTACATTCTATATTGGGGGTCTATGAACAAAAGGGACCCGGAATATAAACCCCCAACTCCCCTCTTCTGTTCGAGGGCTCTGCCTCCGCCATGACACCAGCCGTCCCATCCGCTGGCACTGTGCGGACCTCTGGGCACATGTACGTCTGCAGCCACCCCAGTTTAGGGTTAAGGGTGCATGGGGTGAGGGTCATTTAAGCCAGAACCTCTGAGCCCTAAACCCGCAACCCCCAAAATCCTCAACCCCCTAAACCCCAAACCCCGAAACCCCAGAACCCCTGAGCCCTAAACCCGAAACCCCACATCCTAAACCCCCAAGCCCTCCTAGCCCTAAACCCGAGGGTCGCCGGCCGAACTTCCATGAAGGCCGCACAAAACCCGCGACTCTGCAGTGCTTCTCGACCCAAGAGTAGCCTAGGTAGGGCCCCTGCAAGCCCTAAACAGCCTAAAAACCTGGAGAACCCTAACACACCCCACAAAGAAACCCACAAGCCCCCAAAATCCCTAAACGCCCTTAACACCCTCCAAAAACCCCCTAAAGACCCTAAAGCACTTCTTTTGAACAAAAGTTGAGGCTCGGGCGGTGGACGTGTAAAGGCTCAACAGCGGCGTTCGCTTCGGGCCTCCTGGATATCACGCTGCAAATCCTATCCTAGATAGGGTTTGGGGTTTTGGGTTTCTGGTTTGGGGGTTTAGGGTGAGGGTTTCGGGTTTAGGGTTTGGGGGTTTGGGGTTTAGGGTTTGATGTTTAGGCGCGGATTCCACCCTATATTCCCGGTTGATTTTGCCTACTGATTTAAACCCTGGCTAAACGACTCCTAGTGCATTTGCAGCAGGGTTTTGGATTGCCAGTACTCCCGAAAAAATTGCACCCCATCTAAACATTCACCAACATTTACAAGGAAGGCTGTATGCACTCACCAACAACAGGGCCGAAAAGCGCTGCTTCATGCGTGGAACTGTGAATCCCTTATACTAACAGTCTTTAAAAGGGATTGAAGAACCCCCCATTATAGTCCCGATTAAGGACTGTTAGTATAAGGGGCAAAGTGAAATCTCAGCGAGTCTGAGTACAAATGGCTCATGGGGTGATGCAGCAAAGAGTTGTTGTTAGGGTTTAGGGCTTAGGGTTTAGGGTTTGGGGTTTGGGGTTTGGGTTTAGGGCGCTGCTCGTGACATTCAGAAGCAAGTGTGCTCCGACAAACACTGCATTCCGGGCCTAGTGTTCACTTAAATACATGGCTACTATTTTATTCCTTGGCTTATATATATATATATATATATATATACATATATAAAGGTATGTATAAATATAAATAAAGCAATATAAATATGAATATAAATATACATGTATTGTACATGACTACTAACTTATTTTTGGCATATTACTAGTCTTGCTCTCTGTTTGATTGCTCGCCCCCTCAAAAAACTCGACCCCCTCATTCCGCTCGACCACCCTGCATGCAAAGTAGCTGAGAGCCACACCGGCCGACAGCGCGGGCGAGGGCAACTGGGCGTGTAATCCCTAAACCCTAAACCCCAAACCCTAAACTCTAGATACAGAGAGGAGCCACCGTACTTGATAGACGTATGACCGAAGCTAGTAAGACCATAAGAAACTTAGTTGCTGAGTTCATAAGCCTCAAAAAAGTATGCACTTTCAGTTCTATAGGGGATAGTAGTATCCCAAAAGTGTAAAGTGCACTCACTCAGCTACTAAGGAAACCAATAATTGGCCCTGAAAGAGAGATCTATCGTTATACTTCTCACCAGGGGGCCGTCCCCGGCCCGGTGAGGCCCTGGCTTTCCGGGGCTTGAAAGGGTTTTACGGGGCTTGTAGGGTTTAGGGTTTAGGGGGGGGGGGGGGGCTGTCAGGGTTTGCAAGGAATAGCATCTTTCCAACCAGTTCCCCAGCCCTAAGAGCCCCACAACCGCCAAACCCTCAACCCCCAAAACCCTGCAAGACGCTTAGACCCTAAACCCTAAACCCTAGACCCCAAACCTTAAACCCCAAACCCTAACCCTAAACTGCCCTAAACCCTAAACCCCAACCCCTAAACCCCAAACCCTAAACCCTAAACCCTAAACCCCAAAACCCCTAAACCCCGAGAGCCCGAGGGCAGCTGAGTACCGCTGCCGAAGCAACAGTTTTGCGACTCAAACGGCTCGTAGGCGCCTCTTGGCGTGGGGGAGTTTGGGGGGTTTTGGGGGGGAAGGTTAGGGTTTGGGGTTTGGGGTTTGGGGTTTAGGGTTTAGGGTTTAGGGTTTAGGGTTTAGGGTTTAGGGTTTAGGGTTTAGGGTTTAGGGTTTAGGGTTTAGGTTAGGGTTTAGGGTTTAGGGTTTAGGGTTTAGGGTTTAGGGTTTAGGGTTTAGGGTTTAGGGTTTAGGGTTTAGGGTTTAGGGTTAGGGTTTAGGGTTTAGGGTTTAGGGTTTAGGGTTTAGGGTTTAGGGTTTAGGGTTAGGGGGGTTAGGGTTCAATCTGGGGTTCAGGGTTTCATTCAGGGCTTGGGGAAATGGTTTAAGACGGGATTTCTGGACTTAATTTTAAGCTTCAGGGCTTCATTGAGGGCTTAGCACTTCCTACTTTACACTAACAGTCCTTCATATGGATTCTAATTGGGGGTACTATAATCCTTATTAACGTTAAACCCTAAACCCTAAACCCTAAACCCTAAACCCTAAACCGCATTGAGGGGGGGGGGGGTAGGGCTGTTCTTAAGAAACCTGACCAGCCCGCACCCGTTCCCTTCGAGGTTGGTTTCAGGGCTCCAGGCTCTAGTTCAAGGCCCGGGCAATCGCTTCAGAAGAAAAATTCTCTATGGAACCCCCTCCCCCCAAAAAAAAAACAAAAGGGCTCTGGGCCGGGATTTCTTGTTTTTGTATGTGGGGGGTTATAATTGAGTTCCGGGATCCGAATTCTTTAATTACGGGGGACGGGGGGGGGGGGGGGGGGAACATCCCAACCCTGAACCCCAAACCGGCGCTTGTTGGGCTTTGGGGAAGGGTGTGTGGGGTTTGGGGTTTAGGGTTTCGGGTCCAGGGTTTAGGGTTTAGGGTTTACCGCTGCTGTGAGGGAGATAGTATGAGTTGTGGCCTGCGGCTTTGGGATTTGCCCGCAACCAGGACCACACCCTATGAAGCCTCTAGCCCTTCTAGACCCAGGAGTAACCTAGGAATAAAAAAGGGCACCCAGTTGGGCTTTAAGGGGGTTATCAGGGAACCCCAGCCCAAAAAAAAAAAATGGGGCCCACTCCGGGTCCTAGGCTAAGGAACGGGAGGGAGGCTTCGGGACTTCCTCCCTCCCGCCCCCTCGACAATCTCATGAACAAAACTGTGCGCCAACTCCTTGGGTTTTCATGCGTTCCGGGCATATATGGTTTACGGTTTATAGAGCTTACAAGACTCCGGGTTTATACGGTTTAGGGTTTTCAGGGTGCCTAAACCCTGTAAACCCTGTAAACCCTCTAAACCCTCTAAACCCTCTAAACCCTAAACCCTAAACTAAGCAAGCTCATAGAACTTAGAGCCGGCCTTCATGATGGGGCGCGCTGCAGCGTTGGGGCGTCGAGGGCAGCTTCTAAGGAAGAGATGACCGTAAACCCTAAACCCTAAACCCTAAACCCTAAACCCTAAACCCTAAACCCTAAACCCTAAACCCCAAGCCCTAAACCCTAAACCCTAAACCCTAAACCATAACATCCTTGTCCGACGCAGAGTTGCTTGACTAACGATGTCCCCCGCGCTCTAAGCTCTGGAGCTGTCTCGTGATGCTGCCTCCTATAGGCACCTCAGGAGCCAGGAATTGCAGGTGCTTCAGGGTTTAGGGTTGAAGGCTTAGGGTTTAGTTTAGGGTTCAGGGTCTAGGGTTTAGGGCTGAGGGCTTAGGGTTCAAGGTTTAGGGTGTTCAGGGTTTAGGGTTTAAGGGCTTTGGGGTCCGCCGACCCTGTTTAGTTGAAGGCATTTGGCCAACAAAAACACAAAATGAACTGGACGGATGCTGCGGCTGGGCCAAGTCAGCAATCTAGACCCCACTTTCATCCTAGAACATACAGAGCTAAACAACGAACAATTCCTACTTACAGTCTTTCAGCTGTACAAGCACAAACAAACCGTCCTGTGTGGGACTTCAATGTCTGCTTGATAGTCAGATGAGAGGAGCTGCCTTGAGATGACCAGCAAGGACGAAAAACCGTCCAGCTTTGCAATCTCAAAACCGAAACCCTTGTGACTGTCGTGACGGCAGATGGGAAGTTGAGGGCTAAAAGTTTCAGATGGGCATCAAACCCAAGATCGTCGGATTCTACTTCTTCGGGTTTAGGGTTGAGGGCCAAAGTTTAGGGTTTAGGGTTTAGGGTTTAGAGGATCATGTGTATCATTCAAGCTTCAAGGCTAAGCGGCCAAGCTTGTGATGTGGATCTGCGCAGCACACACCAGCACTCGAACCTCCTTTAGTTCTGCATGCCTCTCCATGCGCGTCTTTTGGAATCAACCAAGGCAGCCCAGCTTCTACTGCAGATTCGAAGCAGTACTACAACTACAGCTTGCTCTGTAGAGCGTAGGGTGGCACAGGTTGCACAGACGGGCGAATGGCAAGCGTCTGAAAAATGGACTGCTGCAACTCCCCTTCAATTTGAAGAAACAGTTGCTCTATCTGCGTCGCTGAGAACACCTGCTGATCCCACACAGGCTCCTTCCATCTGCGGACATCAACCTTTACATACTCCGTGCGCTCCTTATATTCAACCTTGCCTCCTAGGACGAGTCCTGGCAATCCTCCCTGCGCCACATTTACAGGTTCCTTGATCGTCACCGGCTTCAGAACAGGCTCCTCGTGTTCCTTGTACTCGACAACCGTCTTGGCTGCATCGAAGCTGACACCCGCCACGGACAATGCCACTTGTTGTTCAGGCGGGTCCTTGTGGGAGGGCTTTGCCATAAGGATGACTTTGTAAAGACTTGCCTGTGCAATTCCTTGAGCTGAAATAGACGCCACAGAAGATGATTCTTGGTAAGCAACTTCCGAGGATTCCACAAGATGAAATTTGATGGCATCGACAACCTCTTTCGGGATGTTCTTGGCCTTCAGGCCGAGCTCGACTGACTCGGCCATTCTATACTTCGGGCCCGTTTTCGTCCACGTGGCTCCGAACTTCTTCACTCCACTCAAACATTCAAATGTGACATCTGAAGTCGGTGGGCTCTTGTTCTGCCTCATGTCGTGCATGGTGAGAGCAACGTCTTTCAAGTCCTCCTTGGCGCTCTTTTGAGGCGGATGTGCAGACTCCTCCTTGGCACTCTTGGGAGGCGGACGTGCAGAGTCCTCCTCGGCACTCTTGTGAGGCTGATGTGCAGAGTGCTCCTTGGCGCTCTTTGGAGCTGGATGTGCAGAGTTGAACCAGCGCACAATGATGGTAAGAACGAGGGCAAGAGCTCCGTTAGTGTTGGCATTGTTGGAAAGCCAGGATGGGAGAGTCGGCATAGCAGCCCAGCGACAGCCAACTGACCTAGAGATGATACCTTGTTGGACCTCTACTGCTCATCTTTAAGTTGATTGAAGAACGGCCGCGGGCATGTGTATTGCAGGAGACGTCTGTTTAAAACACAACAAGACCTATGATTGGGGCAAGCTTGTGAGGCGCACCACTGGCTTCGTGATGCGGATGGTGATGTGGAGACCAGGGTTCAACGAAGTCAGGCGATGTGCGCAGAGCAATGATTCTATGAACAGACTGCAAGTCAAACACAGTTACGATCGTAGCACAATCCTTATTATACTTGTGTGTTCCGGTCATAGCTAGAGGACGGCGAACTGGGTGGGTGGGTGGGTGGGTGGGTGGGTGGGTGTAGTAGTAGAAACAAAGTGATCCCCCCTGAAGCAATCCCACGTTGGAGGGACAGTGTTGCTCCTAATGTGCGCCGCACATCGTGGCACGAGCCTTTTCTAGAAAATCTGCAGGCAGCGTCCATTGCAGTTCGCATCGGCAAGGTCCTGCCAGCAGGCTTTAAACTCAGGCAAGCCTCTTGCGCTGGCTTGGGATTGAAACCCTAAACCCGGAGTACAGCGCGGGATAGCCCGGGACACGGGGACCGACTGGCGAACAAGCACAGCCCAAACCCTCAGCAAAACCGTCTTTGCCAAGGAGCAAAGGAAGCCTCCTTTTTTGGACTCATGGGGGCTTGAGCCTAAACATCCCGAGCCAAAACCTAGACATGATCGACTCCCGCTATTCCCCACCCACATATAGGCTTGTCTTATAATGGAACTTTCTAATGTGTCTGAAATCAGGCAGAAGGCAAAGGGGTTCTAACCGCTCTTTCGAAGCAGCTGACTGAACACATAGTACCACAATCGAATTTTGATCAACAACTACCCAGATTACAGGATGTAAAGTCTGCCACAAGACTGGCGCAGCGGTGCCCACGCCTTGGCATTCCCCCTGCTCTTCGTGCTCAGATGATGCCTGGCATGCAACCCTAAGCCTAAGGGTGCACAAACAAGCTTAACCCCGGAGGGTGTGCCAAGTTGATTCTGACACAGCTGGTTAGGACTTCCAGACTTCACCCCCCCCCCGCCCCCCCACGGTTTAGGGCTTAGGGTTTAGGGTTTAGGGTTTAGGCAGCCCCCCCCCCCCCCCCCCCGCACCCGACAATCTCATGAACCAAATCCTGGGGTTTTCTTGCGCTTAGGGGTATATAGGGTTTACGGTTTAGGGCTTACAAGATTCCGGGTTTATACGTTTTAGGGTTTTCAGGACGCCTAACCCTAAACCCTAAACCCTAAACCCTAAACCCTAAACCCTAAACCCTAAACCCTAAACCCTAAACCCTAAACCCTAAACTAAGCAAGCGCATGGAACTTAGAGCCGGCCATCATGATGGGGCGCGCTGCAGCGTTGGCGCGTCGAGGGCAGCTTCTACGGAAGAGATGACCGTAAACCCTAAACCCTAAACCCTAAACCCTAAGCCCTAAGCCCTAAACCCTAAACCCTAAACCCTAAACCCTAAACCCTAAACCCTAAACCCTAAACCCTAAACCCTAAACCCTATCCTTGTCAGAGGCAGAGTCGCTTGACTAACGATGTCCCCCGTGCTCTTAGCTCTGGCGCTGTCTCATGCTGCTGCCTCCTATAGGCACCTCAGGAGCCGGGAATTGCAGGCAGTGTAAAATATTGTAACAGTGTAACAGTATAACAGTATAACAGTGGAACAGCATAACAGTATAACAGTGGAAGAGTAGAACACTATAACAATATAACAGTGGAACAGTAGAACAATATAACAATATAACAGTATCATAGTAGAATAGTAGAACAGCAGAGCACATCGTAACAATATAACAGTGGAACAGTAGGCGCGCACAATAATAATTAAAAAACACAAGATAATTCATGGTTAATGCATTGTTAAGACATTAATTTTAATAGAAATAACAATATTATGAATAATAGCATCAATAGCATTGGAAAATGTATGGTTAATGCATGAATTAGACAATAAATTAATAGTAATAAACATATTACTGATAATAATACCAATAGTATTGTTTTGATTGATATATGTGGGTTTGAGGCAGCCCACCAAATAAAATGTCATTTCAGTATTAAAATAAACATGTTTTTACCACTTTATTGAAACAGGGAATCCGCCAACCTGATGTACAAGGCGCTGTTGTGTTGAAAAGTGTAGGTTATTGGTATACAATACTATTGCTATAGTATAATGCCATATATAATTTATGCTTCAGGGTTTAGGGTTAGGGTTTAGGGTTTAGGGTTTAGGGTTTAGGGTTTAGGGTTTAGGGTTTAGGGTTTAGGGTTTAGGGTTTAGGGTTTAGGGTTTAGGGTTTAGGGTTTAGGGTTTAAGGGCTTTAGCGTTTAAGGGCTTTAGGGTTTAGGGTTTAAGGGCTTTAGGGTTTACAGGATTTAGGGTTTAAGGGGTGTAGGGTTCATGCAAAGCTTACATCAGCCAGGGCCAAAAACCCTAAACCCCAAACCTAAACCCTGAGCCCTAAACTCTAAACTCTAAACCAGGGCCTTACTGACCAACTAACAGAGTCCCTGAAACCACCCCTAACCCCTAAACCGCAAACCCCTAAAGCCCCAAACGCTATACCCTAAATTCGAACACCTTACAAGCTAAATGCTAAGACATCGCGTGGGGGAACGGCCGGTGCCCCTGGGCAGTTGTTCTTTCCAGAAAGTCCGCGCGTCAAATTGTGCTCAGGGCAAAGAAGACGTCCTGGTTTTGCGGCGTCAGAGGCTGGGAAGGGTTTAGGGCCCCGAAACCCTAAACCGTAAACTCTAAACCCGATAGGCTGGCGTTCAGGGTGTTCAGGGAGCTCAGTGTTTAGGTTTGGGTTTTGGAGAGAATCTGGGTTCAGGGTGACTGGAGGCTCGATGTCCGTGTTCGGCTTGTAGGGCTTAATGGCTTAGACTCAAAAGGGTTCAGGGTTTAGGGGTGTAGGGCTCTAAAAGGCTTAACATGAAAAACCGGCTGGTGTTTTTTGCTCCTGGTTTGTCGGGTTTAGAGCTGATCGGGTTTAGCGTAAGGGGCTAACAGTTAAGGAGGGTTTAGGGTTGATGGGTTTATGGGGATTGCAGAATCAGTTGGAGAGGGCCAACTAATGGTGAATGCCGGCGGGGAGGGGTCTTCCTTTCGAGGACAGTATTGCTGAAGATTGGTGACAGGGGGGGATCTAGCAGCTCTAAATTCTAGACCCTATATAACCCCCCCCCCAAAAAAAATAATAAAATAAACCCAACCAGGTGAACAACAGCTTGAAACGGAGGCACCCTTGAAGGAAGCCCCTACACACCCTTGAACCCGGAACCTTACACATCTTGAACCCTACACCATGCAGCTCCAATACTTGCATCACTTGGTCTAGGTCTAGGTAGCCCAACAAAACCAGATAGTAATTGACAACGGTGCCCTCTCTTCCTTGTGAGCTTTGCTAATCTGCCACTCAAACGGTGCCACGTTACCACTGCGCATCCGTCACTAGGATGCCGGGTGCTGCGCTTTGAGTACAACTTGCATGTGGGTTGAGGGCTTCTGGTTTAGGACGATATATCAGGGGGTACCTTAGTGGGGTCCTGATGATAAGGGGATCCTAGTATTTGGTGGTCTATATTGGGGTCCCCACTGCAATTACTGTACCGTAAACCCCCCAAATGGCTCCCAATACAAGCACGCCTCCGGCGCCCGCAGTTAGATGATGCCTGGGCTGGCGAGCATCAACGGAGCAAGGGTTTGGTACCTCCCCACCCTTTAGGGTTTAGGGTTTAGGGTTTAGGGTTTAGGGTTTAGGGTTTAGGGTTTAGGGGTTAGGGTTTAGGGTTTAGGGCCCTAGACCCTAAACCCTAAACTCCTTTAGGAGCCCTAATAAGGTTAAGCCCTAAGCCCTAAAGCCGTAACTCTCTAACCCACCTCCAAGCTCGAGAGAGCCCAGCTTCGATGCCCTAAACCCTAAACCCTAAACCCTAAACCCTAAACCCTAAACCCTAAACCCTAAACCCTAAACCCTAAACCCTAAACCCTACAGCTCAAACCCTGAACCCTTCTGCTCCTCAGATCTGCTGGAAGCCTCCCTTCAAAACCTCTAGGGCCCATGCACGTCTTGAAAGTTGGGTTAGGGGAGGGGCAACCCTACTACCCTAAACGGTTCAGGGGTTTAGGGTTTAGGGTTTAGGGTTTAGGGTTTAGGGTTTAGGGTTTAGGGTTTACCCTAAAAAGGCCCTAGATACCCTACTTATTGCCTAAAAGGGAACGGGGAGGGGAGAAAGGTGTGGGGGACTGGGGTTCAGGTTCTTGCTCTTTCAGAGGCTTTTCCCGACCTCTTTTGTTGGGCGGTGCAGCACCTTCCTTTAAACTTTGGGGCCGGGATACCACACCAAGGAAATTCGGCACCCCCATACATGTAGGGTTTAGGGTTTAGGGTTTAGGGTTTAGGGTTTAGGGTTTAGGGTTTAGGGTTTAGGGCTTAGGGTTTCGGCATAGTAGGGCTTAGAGTGCCCATGACACCCGAGCTTTTTCTCGAAAAGCTGCAGGAAACGTCCGTTGGAGTTCGCATCGGCAGGGTCCTGCCAGCAAGCTTGACATCTAAACCCCTACTTGGAGGTTCATGGTACTTACTAACCAAGTATAACTGTACTTATAACCCACTCATAAGCCCCTAAAGTGCCCTAATATGGCTATATGGTTCTAAGTGCAGTTATAAGTACAGTCATAACTGGTTAATAAGTACCATGAACGAGCAAGTACAGCTCACAGTTCGGCTTGCTTTGAGGTGGAGATGGAAGGTATAGGCACTAAGCATGCGCCTTCGAGGTTTCGCACCTGACTGAACGCCCTTGAGCCCCCTTCTTCCAAAGTTCGCCCTAGCCCTAAACCCTAAACCCTAAACCCTAAACCCGAAACCCTAAACCCTAAACCCTAAACCTCTGCGCAGAAGCGCCCTCGGTGCCTTCGCATTCGCCACACTCTCCGTGCTCAGATGATGCCTGGGATGCAAGCCCCAAGGCCCAAACTCTACTTAGTTGCTGAGTTCATAAGTTTAGGGTTTAGGGTTTAGGGTTTAGGGTTTAGCCCCCTCAAAAAAGGGGAAGCTTTCAGTTCTATACCCAGATCTTCCAAAACCCCTGAATGAAGGAATATACCCTACGTAGTTCATGATAAGGATCCTCAGCATAAATTTCGGTATCTTCCTGAATACAGGGGTTTTGGAAGATCTGGGTAGGGGATTAACGTATCCCAAAAAATGTATAAAGTGTATATACTCATTCAGCTACTAATCCTAGGCACACACCAAGAAACCCTGAGCCCTTAAACTTTTTTCGGCATTCTGGAGCCAAGGACCCCTGAAAACCTAATCCCTGAATCTCTGAATCTTATCTACCATTTGTTTAGACCCCCCAAAAAAAGAAAATTATTCTTTTTATGAGGGCAATATGGGGAAGTTTTTTTGGGTTCTTAAGCAACAAGCAGTTATAATCCCCAAAAAACCCCTAAAACCCCTAAAGCCCAAAGACCCTGCGACCCTGAAACCTTAAGACCCTAACACCCTGAAACCCTAAGACCCTCAAAGCCTAAAACCCTAAGACCGATGTGACGCACGAAGTTTTGGCAAGCAGCCGATGCGGTTGGCCACATCCAGGGCGTCGTAGTCTTGCGTGAGGCGGACGTAAGCCTTCTTCTTCCTCGGCTTAGGGTTGAGGGTTGAGGGTTGAGGGTTTAGGGCTTAGGGCTTAGGGTTTAGGGTTTAGGGTTTAGGGTTTAGGGTTTAGGGCTTCTTCCTCGGCTGCACGTTCACGAGCTTCGGAGGTTTCGGGCTTGTAAGGTTTATGGGGTTTATAGGGCTTCTAGGGTTTATAGGGTTGACGTGGGGCTGAACGGGTTTATAGGGTTTATATAGGGTGTATAAGGTAAGGCTTAGGGTGCTTGAGGCTATGAACCTGTTTAGGGTTTAGGGTTTAGGGTTTAGGGTTTAGGGTTTAGGGTTTAAAGTTTGGGCCTTCTAGGGTGTCCTTCTGATAAGGTGCAGTACTCTACAGGGCAAGCACTGAATCCTTGCAGGTAGCAGCTTGAAGACTCGTGTCGCGGACCCAGCCCAGCATCCCAAAAGCAACCCTTAGAAAACCCCAACTCAACACTCAGAGGCCCCTAAACCCTAAACCCTAAACCCTAAACCCTAAACCCTAAACCCTAAACCCTAAACCCTAAACCCCAAACCCCAAACCCCAAACCCGAAACCCTAACTTAGACTTGTAGGTGAGGCGCCCGTCGGGGCGAATGAGCGTGTTGACCTTGGCGCACTTGACATCGTAGAGCTGCTTCACTGCCTTCAGGAGCGAACCCTAAACCCTAAACCCTAAACCCGAAACCCTAAACCCTAAACCCTAAACCGTGCTTCACTGCCTTCAGAAGAGCGATCGCCTACTGATCAATCATGACTAATTTAGTCATGACTAGTCAGTAGGAAGTTGGGGTTTAGGGTTTAGGGTCGAGGGAGTCGAGGGTCGAGGGTTTAGGGTAGGGTTTAGGGTTTACACGCACAAATCGTACGGCCTCCTTGATCTTCGGCTTCGTCGCCTGGAAGCTCCAAAAGGGTGTCAGGGGCTTGGGGCGCTTCTGTTCTTACTGCCAGCAGGCTCTGATGAAAGTCCTGAAAGGACTTTAACTCCAAACGGCTTGTGGAGTTAGCTATCGATTGCTGAGTCGGAAATTTACGAACCAGTATGCTACCGTAATGGGCACTGCAACCTTTAGATAAGGCCGAGGGGAACTTCGGGCTTACGAGCTCCAGCGCCATCCTACAAGTAGATTTGCCTTGGAAAGCTGCAGGGAAAGATTCCGTTTAGGGCTTAGGGCTTAGGGCTTAGGGCTTAGGGTTTAGGTTTTAGGGTTTAGGGTTTAGGGTTTGGGACACCGCCAAGTCGTAGATCCTCAACTCGGGGGCGGAGCAGCGAAGAGACTTGCGGCAGGGCTACAGCAGTGCCACAGCCCCTCTGTGAGAGAAGCCCTACTTTACACGGTTTAGGGTTTTAGGGTTTCGGGTTTAGGGTTTAATAAGGGTTTTGGGTTTTGGGTTTTGGGTTTTGGGTTTCCAGACCCTGCGGGAACCCTAAGCTACTTGACAGCGCAACTCGTTGTTCGAACTTGGGCGCCTATTTCATACTCTGCAACTAGCCTGCAGATTAAACCCCCAAACCCAAAACCCTAAACCCTAAACCCTAAACCCTTGAATTTGGGGGCTAGCGTGCACCATGTACCCCAAGAGCTTGGAAAAAAAAACAAAGAAGGGTGCTCTGTTTTGCTTCATGATTGGGGTCGATACGGGAACCCCGCAACAATACACCCTGAGGCCTCAAACCCTGAACTCGAAAACCTAGGCCGTAAACTCTAAACTGCACAATAAAACCTGGGGCCCCTATACCTTAACACTCGAACCTCCCAAAACCCGAAACCATAAAACCCTAAACGCTAAATCCTCAACCCTAAACCCTAAACCCTAAACCTCAACCCCCGAACCTCAAACCCTGAACCCTGAACCCTGAACCCTGAACCCTGAACCCTGAACCCTGAACCCTAAACCCTAAACCCTAAACCCTAAACCCTAAACCCTACCCATAACGGGCCCATGGTCATTTCCGAACCCCCCAAGCAACCCACCTTGAGGTCGACGAGGAAGACCAAGGTGTTAATCTCCTCGACTCCAAGGGAATTTAGGGTTTAGGGTTTAGGGTTTAGGGTTTGGGGTTTAGGGTTTAGGGCTTAGAGTTTGGGGTTTGGGCTTTAGGTTCCAAGAGGATCCTAAGCCTGCCGAATTAACAAGGTAAGCCAGGCATCTGCGCCTGGGCTGAACAAAAGGCGGGCGGATGAACTGCAGGCACATGCGAGGTCCCAAATGCTTATAAGCGCTGAACGCTGTACCCTAAACTCCCAAACCTCTAAAGCCCTAAAGTCCTAAAGCCCTAAAGTCCTAGACCTGCACCCTAAACTCCTCCACTCCCTGAACTTCTAGGCTACAATAGACTCCTGAACCCTAAGCCCTGCACCCTAAACCCTAAACCCTAAACCCTAAACCCTAAACCCCTCGACTCTGAAGTCTACAACTCAAGCCGGCCCTTCCTCCGTCCGCCGTGCTCGTGCCAGTATGGAAGTACTGTGAGAACTTTCAGAAGGGAACGCCAGGAATGTAGTTTATGGAGGGTTTTGGGGTTTTGGGAATAGGGTTTAGAGGGGTTAGGGTTTAGGGGTTTAAGGTTTAGGGTTCAGGGTTTAAGGTTCAGAGTTTAGGCTTTAAGGTTCAGGGTTTGGGGTTTAGGGGGCTGTCAGGGGTTTAAAGGCCGGTGGCAGGCCAGCGTAGATCAAGACTAGGAAGGCTCTTGATCCATGAAAGCCCTCTGGAAAATATGTTCCTGGATATGATGCCCTTAAACCCCAAAAAAGGCAAATGTAAGACGGCCCTTATAAACCCTAAACCCTAAACCCTGAACCCTGAACGCTAAACCCTAAACCCTAATTCTAATTAAACCCCAAACCCCAAACCCCCAGACCCTGCCTAGAATAGGGGTCTGGGGCAGGTTTTTGGGAGCCACTCAGAGCTTCCTCGATCTTCTTCATCGCCGACTCCGTTGTGACAGGACACCTGTCATCAAACATGGGTTTTAGGGTTTAGGGTTCAGGGTTTGGGGTTTAGGGGGTTTAGGGTTTGTGGGTTCCCCTACTACCCCCCTCTATACTACCCCCCCCTCACCCCCCCCTAGGCCCCTTAAATAACCTTGACCAGGCTAATCAAATAGCCTTAAGTATGCTGGGAACCTGGAAAGGTGGGGGGTAGTATAGAAGGGGGTAGGGTTTAGGGCTTGGGTTAAGTGATCTTTGGGCTTGAGGTGTCGTACAGGGTTTAGGCGTTAAGTTTAGGGTTTGATTAGGGGGTTTAGGGTTTAGGGTTTAGGGCTTCGGGTTTAGGGTTTAGGGCTTCTGCGAGCGTAACAGGGCCTCAAGGGGGTTTAGGGCTTCGGGCTATAGGGCTCTGTCAACGCAGGTCTCGGGCACTGGATGATGCGGTACTTGTCGAGCTTGTCTCCACGGCCCCTTGCAGAAACAATGCTGGTTTAGGGTTTAGGGTTCAGGGTTTAAGGTTGAGGGTTTAGGGTTTAGGGCTTCTGCGAGTATAACACATCCAATGCAGAGCTCCACGAACGACCTGCAGTTCCGCGTCAGGCGAATGTCACCCAGTATGGCATATAGCAGCATGGCAGATTCTTGAAGACCTGCCCAACAACCCCAACAAGAACATTCAGGGCAAACCCTAAACCCTAAACCCTGAACCCTAAACCCTAAAACCTAAACCCTAAACCCTAAGCCCATTGTCGGTTTCGGGTTCGCCCCAAAAACGATGCTGCAAGCCTGGCCCACAACACTGCTTCCCCTGGGCTCGCGACTCAACGGACTTCCGAGGGTACTTTGGGTTCCGCGCCTCGAATCTGCAAGTTTAGGATTTAGGGTTTGGAGTTTAGGGTTTAGGGTTTAGGAATCGCTTGGTTCTCTAGACCCAAGAGCAACAATGGTGCCCCTTTTTGGTTTCAAGGGGCTTGTAAGCGAATCTAAACACCGAAAAAAAAGGAATAGGGGCCTACTCTGGGTCCCATAGGGTTAAATGAGGGTATATAGGGTTCACGGGGGAGCCAAAACCCTGATGTCATTCCTTGTTGGGGCTTAGTTGGGGCCGTCTCACCAGAAGAATAGTAATATGCTCCATTTCAAGCCCTTCGACAGGTTTAGAAGGTCCTAGAACCGCCCCGCCCTCCCCTCCCCCCTCCCCAGGGCCCCCGCGCCCAAGCCACCTTAAACTCTGAACCCTAAGCCCAAAGCCATCGAACCCCACCAAACCCCTCTAAGCCCCCCCCAAACCCGAAACCCATCTAAGCCCTAAACCGAAGCAGCATTTTGACTGGCGACTGGCCCCCCCATCAGGAGCTCCCAGGGCGGGCAGTTGGGGGGGGTGGAGATCCACATCCCCAAACGGTTTTGGCTTCAGGGTTTCAGGTTTTAGATTTTTAGGGTTAGCAAAAGCAAGGGAGCCGTGAAAATAGAGCGAAAGCTTTGAAGGCCTCTTTGATGGGGCTTCCCGGAATGCGCTTTTCGACCACGCGCGCTAGTAGCCCTAAGCCCCTGTCACTGCGACCACGACCCGAAACCGGCACCCGAAATCCAAAACCCAAAACCCAAAACCCTAACCCAAAACCCAAAACCCTAAACCCCCCCCCCCCCCCCCCCCCCAAAAAAAAAAAAAAAAAACTAAACCCTAAACCCTAAACCCTGAACCCCTCCGCCAGGGTGCCTTGATGAGGGTCTTGGGCCGATAGAAGCGGACTTTTGTTCGGATCTTCTTCGCCTGGGAACTGGGAAGACTCTGCTGGGGCTGGTTCTTAGGTATCTTCGGCTATATACAAATACATATATATATATATGTATCTTTATCTACTTGTTTAGTGCGCTAGTTATGAATATTTCTGTTAGGGTCCAGGGTTTGAGGGTTGGGGGTGGTTCCAAAAGCGAGCCCCACTCTGCGCCGTGCCTAAGCCCCCAGAACATTCACCCCAAACTCTCGATTTCTAAACCCTAAACCCTAAACGCTAAACCCTAAACCCTAAACCCTAAACCTTAAACCTTAAACCCTAAACCCTAAACCTACAAGCTTGCGACCCCAGTTTGGGGGTCAAAAGTGTAGAAGTCAAAGGGCATGAGGGTAAGGGGACGTGGGGGGCTTATAAATACGGTTATAGTTGGGGTTCTAAGTACCCTGAACCTCCAAGTAGAATATTCCCCGTACATGCAAAAGTTGTATAGTTCTGACGATAAGAACCCCCAACCCTCCCTTCTCCAAACTACACAAAAACTGGTTGGGAAACCCATATGGGGGCTTACGAAAAATAGGGGACGCCTAATAGAGACCCCAACATAGTAAGATTCCCGGAAAATAAAAACCCCAAAAGGGCCCTAAACCCTGAACCCTAACCCTAAACCCTAAACCCTGCACCCTGCACCCTGCACCCTACACCCTACACCCTAAACCCTAAACCCTAAACCCTGAACCCTAACCCTAAACCCTAAACCCTGAACCCTAAACCCTAAACCCACCTCATATTGGAAATCCTGGACATGGCCTTCGTGCTCACGGTGCCTTTGACGGCCTTGGCGGCCTGTGTGCCAGAAACGAACCGGAAGGTTTAGGGTTTAGGGTTTAGGATTTAGGGTTCAGGGTTCAGGGCTTAGGGTTTAGGGTTTAGGGATCTTTAGATTTGCTTCTTAGAGCCCTTCCCAAAACAATTTACTTGAAGGTTCCCAAGCCTGTAACCCTGAACGCCAAGCCATCCTAAACCCTAAACCCTAAACCCTAAACCCTAAACCCTAAACCCTAAACCCTGGGCCTTCTCGGCTTTCTTGGAGTCGCCCTTGCCCTTGGGTGCCATGGCGCGACCCCCCGGAGCCCCCCCGGCGCGAATTTCCCGGCCCAGGCTTCGCACCTCGAGCCGAGAAGCCGGGGTTCTGGGGTTTAGGGTTTAGGGTTTAGGGTTTAGGGCGAGGCTTTAGGGTTTTCGGGTTTAGGGTTTAGGGGCTAGTTAAGGGTCTTTAAGTCTCAGGGCGTAGGGTTTTACACCAGTATCCACTGGTATGGCTCTCTGTGGTGTGTCCAGGGTAGTTTTCATCCCCTATGAAAAGTACTCCAGGGTGGCAAAAACGGCTTAGAGGTTTCGAACCCCTAAACCCTAAACACTAAACCGTAAGCCCTAAACCCTAAACCCTAAACCCTACTACCCTAAACCTCCCCCGGATCTTCAGAACAAGTAGCCCATGGGCACGAGTCGAGTCTTACCCGGAGGTTCCTTTTCTTCCCCATGGGAGCCAAGTGGAGGCGATCTCCCCCTCCTAGAGACTTGCCGCCAGCAGATCTCCTTGCATCTGTGCGGCGTGAGACAGAGCCCGGATTCTGTACAGTCCTTCTTCGGGCTTTGCGGTCTGCAAATGTCCAAAGCCCACTTCAGGTACCTACAGCCTCAGGAATTTGGAGCTTAAGGTTTCAGACACAAAGTTAGTTCCCTAAACCCTACTAATCCTAATCCTAAATCCCTACACCCTACACCTGTAATCCCTAAAGCCCTAATCCCTGAACACCTAAGACCCTAAACCCCCAAACCCCTACACCACCCCGTAAGAGCGAAGGCAACCGTTGGAAGACTCCCTGAAGTCATGGCCCTTTCTGCCCAAACGTCTGACATGTTACTGCCGTGAATCTTATTGGTCCTAATTAGGGATTAGGGTTTAGGGTTCAGGGCTTCGGGTTTGAGTTTAGGGGAGACTACAACAAATCCTCTACCAGTTTGTAGTAAGTGCAAGGAATGGGGAACAAGGCCGGCCTTGAAGTGTGGGGTGACTGCCAAGACCTCTCTCCTGGCAAGTCTAGCCCCCCTATACCTGAAACCCTAAACTCAACCCTAAACCCTAAACCCTAAACCCTAAACCCTAAACCCTAAACCCTAAACCCTAAGCCCAAGTCGGCTTCGGAAGCTGCCGGAGTGAAACCGACACATACGACCTGTGCTTCTTGGCCAGACGTCTTTGGCCGTTCGTTAATGGGCTTCATCCGAACCCTCCTCCCAACAATAAGGGTTTAGGGTTTAGGAATTAGGGTTTAGGGCTTAGGGGTTTAAGAGACTTGAGGGGGTTTAGGGTTTAGGGTTTAGGGTTTAGGGCTTAGGGCTTAGGGTTTAGGGTTTAGGGTTTAGGGTTTAGGGTTTCGGGTTCCGGAGAGGTTCGAGGCTTTTCGGGCTAAATCTACTGTATGGAGTTAAGGAGCCACTGGACGGTCCAGGAAAGGCTTAGAGAACAACCAGAACCCGAACACTTTCACAACCACGTCACGAACAAAGGATTGAGTGATCCCCCCTCCCCACCTAAACCCTAAAATCCTAAACCCTAAACCCGGCAGAAACAAGCACCTGTAAATGCCTGAACACTCAGGCCAGTAACTTTCTGTTGGTTAGCAGGAACGAGGGAATTGGGGCTCTATATCTAAATATATATATATATATATACAAACCCTGTAAGGGATTTGGTAGGGTACCTCATGCCCCCATTCCCTACTAACCAACAATAAGGTAAACTTCCTCGCAGTCCAGGCCACCCAGCAACATAAGAATCTGATATTGGAGTTAAGATTTCTGTATAAACCCTGAACCCAAATATAGCCAACACATATTGTTAAAGAAAAGCTCTTGAAAGGGAATCAGGGTACGTCTGGGGCATCCTCGCAAAACCCTCACCCCTCAACCTTCCTTCATGAGTGCCTGAAGTCTGGCGGTAAAAACCTGCTAGTTAGGGTTTCGGGTTTAGGGTTTAGGGCTAGGGTTTAGGGTTTAGGGTTGAGGGTTTAGGGTTTAGGGTTTAGGGTTTAGGGCTTCAGGGAGCCTAAGGCCCTCGTGCAAAAGAACATGACAACTCCCGAGGAGAAGCACAAGCTTCCAACTTGGCACCACTCCGGCCCCTGCTGATCGAGGGTTACCCCAAGCTACATGGCTTTGCTTTGCTTCTCCTTCAGTTTTTGGGGGTTTAGGGTTTAGGGTTTAGGGTTTAGGGTTTAGGGTTTAGGGTTTAGGGTTTAGGGTTTAGGGATAGGATTTTTAGGGTTTAGGGTTTGGCTTCAATGCAGTGTAGAAAAAGCCAGAAGCCATTGGCACCCAGCCCTAAACCCTGCCTCCTACCCCTACAACATTCGCACGCCGTAGGTCGTAAACCCCTTCTGAAAACACACACAGCTTGATACGATGCCCCAAAGAAGTCGCCAGAGCCTCTTTTCGTGGGTAGTCATGACCCTAAACCCTAAACCCTAAACCCTAAACCCTAAACCCTAACCCCTAAGCATGAGATTGCGGTTTGAGCTACGGAGCTACTTTATTTCTTGCAGCGAGGGGTCCGAGATTCTGTGCTGGAGACGGCCCTGGGACACCGCCGATGCAGATACAGGGGTTATAGGGTTCAGGGGTTAAGGCTTTCGGTGTTTAAGGTTTCGGGTTCAGGTGTTTAAGGAATTAAGGGTTTACGGGTTGCAGTATGTGATCCCCCAAGCACCATTCCCGCCAGCAAGGTGCTTGGAACACGATGCCATCCTCCTGGGGTAACCACCGCCAACACTAATAGGAAATCACCCGCTGCTGACACGTAGATTCTCAGTCCAAGGGGAAATCATCCTGAGTTTCGGGGTTACAGGATTTATGGCTGCTCGGTGTTTCTGCTTTTTTGTTTTTCCGTGGGGTCTTGAAGAGCAGTAAGCTCAGGATTCAGTTGTGGGATTGAGGATAATCTGTTTTTTGGGTAGGCCTTAAGAGTTCAGCAAAAGGGAGTAAGATCCAACAAAAACAAAGCCTCGAACCTGTAAAAGTGATCCGGACTGCACTTGCAGGCTAGTGTACAAGGCTTTCGAGTGTGTGAATGACATACCCGGCTGACATGAGAAGAGAGATAGATCCCTCTGGAGAAGGGTGCTCGAGTTTCGGGGGTGCCTTAAAACCCCTAAGCTTCCACGCCTTACCTTGAGCCACCTTGTACCGTTTAAGACAGGGCAGATATACCAGTAGTTGAGGTACACGCCCCAATACTAAGCGTATGGAAGCTTCTTTTCGGCGACTTTTTGGCGGTGTCCCGTCTGCCGCCCACAGATCCCCAGTTGCCTGCGGCGGCCCCTTCAGCTGTGCTCAGATGCTATCCTGGTGGTGTTGCTGGCCCCTAACGATGCCATCATTTCCTATCTCACAAAAAAGGGGCTCGTGCTAGGGTTGACGGGATGATACGACCCCCTAAACCCTCAACCCTCCACCCTCAGCCCTAAACCCTCAACCCTAAACCCTAGATCCTAAATCCTAAACCCTAAAACCTATCCGGGCCCTAACCCTCTGCTGCCTTGGTGGCCCAGTAACCATCTTGTAACAAAGGCTAAAGAGGAACACCTAGAACCAACAGAAAGGGCAACAGGGTACTACTGGGCTCCCAAGAAACAAGAAACCCTAATTCCTAATTCCTAAACCCTAAACCCTAAAACCCTGGGGTCCAGAAGCCTGAACCTTCGAAAGCCATCCCCGGGAAAAGCATCACTAAAGCCTAATTAAAGCCTAAACACTAACAACCCTAAGCCCAAAACCCTAAATCCTAAACCCTAAATCCTAAAACCTAAACCGAGTCACTAACACCCTAACCCCTGACACCATCCCCAACATCCGACGTGCCCAGTGCCGAGGACAAGGATGAAGCCGACGCCAGCAAGGCAAAGGGGGTTTAGGGTTTAGGGTTTGGGGTTTAGGGTTTAGAGTTTGGGGTTTGGGGTTTAGGGTTTTGGGATCAGGGCCTATAAGTGCACAGGGATCACAACTAGCCAAGGGAAAACAAGGGAGCCCACTTGGTGTTCAATGGGAGGTTTTAAAACTCAGTCTCTAAGACCTTATTAAAACCCTAAACCCAAACCCCCAAACCCTAAAGGCCCTTAAGATGGAGATCACGACTTCAGGGCTTTGATTTTCGGCTTTGGGGTTAAGGGCTTCTCGGGCTTACTTGACAGGTCCACATACCTACTAGGGTCTAGGGGTTAGGGTAGAGAGTTGAGTTGAGGGTTTAGGCGTAGGGTGTTTAGGGTGCATGACGGCTGAGGCCAAGGCGACGTCACGGAAGCCTTCCTGCTCGAACTCGACTCTTGGCTTTATAGCTTAGTTGTCCAGTAACTTTGGGGTTCTAAGGGAATTGTACTACCCAAAAAAGGTTGGAGGTTACCTACTCTGCTACTAGGACAAGGTTTCGGCATAGACCTTGGCCCTGTCCTAAGCCACTGGGTCCACAGAACACACGCAGCCTCAACAACCACGGGATTTCGTTTAGGGTTTAGGGTTTAGGACACGTTTAGGGTTTAGGGTTGGGGGTTGAGGGTTTAGCCTCAACCACCACGGGGAGGGTTTAAGGAGGGTATGGGTACCCCTTTGGGTTTGGGGGGGACGTTTGGGGGTCCTATACTAAACCCCAAGCCCGCCACTCGCATCCAATACAGCGACATCTAACATCCGCCGACCCCTTCAACTAAGAAGTCCCAGCAACAAGAAAGCCTTGTTTAAACCCTAAGCCCTCAGGCCCAAAAGCCCTGAAGCCCTGAACACGAAACCCAGAACCCTCAACGCTAAACCCTGAACCCTTAAACACGAAACCCACTCTGCCCAGCCTGAACCCTATGCCCTGAACCCCCCTTTTGGTACCCTAAACTGTAAGGAATGTCCCAAAATCGGAATCCTGACGCTTTTAAACCCTGAACCCTCCGTAACACCATAGGGTTTAGGGTTTAGGGTTTAGGGCCATAAGCGGATAAGGGACCATTATTTATATCAAGCCCACATGAACCCCTTAACTCGGACCTAAACCCTAAACCCCAAACCCTTATAAACCCTTAGAAACCCTGATAAACCCTAACCCCTAACCCCTAACCCCTAACACCTAACCCCTAACCCCTAACCCCTAAACCCCAAACCCCAAACCCCAAACCCCAAACCCCAAACCCTAAACCCTAAACCCTAAACCCTAAACCTCACCCCCTCCTGCTCTTCCAGGCGCCGCCACCGCCTCGCACGTCACGGCCGAACCCGGAGTAAGCGCAGCAACAAGAATGCACAGGCTTTAGGGTTTGGGGTTTAGGGTTTAGGGTTTAGGGTTTAGGGTTCAGGGTGTAGGGTTCAGAGTTTGGTGTCTAGTAGAGTTTAGGGTTTAGGGTTTAATTAGGGTTTATAGGGTTTAGGAGGGTTTGGGGTCTAGTGCTGGGCTGCCCAGTAACCTGGGACTAAAACGGTGCCGTTTGTTTTGTTCACAGGGGTTTCAATGGGAACCTAAACCCCCCAAGAAAGGGATAAAGGCACCCCTAAACCCTAAACCCTACACCCTAAACCCTAAACCCTAAACCCTAAACCCTACTGGGCATCCCACGGTGCTAGGCTGCAGATGTTTAGGGCTTTTGGGGGCTTCGGAGGGTTGATTAGTTATTCTTTCCCCGGTGTGCAGGGTTTTCACTAGAGTGTTCAGAGCGTTTAGGACTTTAAGGCAACAAGAATGAAGAAAGGTAGAGGGTGTCCGTGTGTAGGTCCTTTTGAAGTTTAGGGCTTTGGGTTTACTGAATAGGGATCAAGGCTTTAGGGTGTAGGGCTTTTGAGCTTTCGGATTTGGTGTTTTGGGGCTTGCAGCGTTCAGGGCCTAAACCCCAAACCCTGAGCTCAGAGAATCCAAAACCCTAAACCCCGAACTATCAACATCCTCTATGTAAGATTCAACGTGTCTTTCGAAAAGTGTATCTATACATCTATATCTGTATACATATATATACACACATTAGATGTTTAGGGTTTGGGTTTGGGGCTTAGGGATTAGTATATATCTATATATATATCTATATGTACACATATAAACACTCGGATCGGGAGAGACCAAGGAAAAGGCACGAAATCCCTCAATTCCGTAGACCCCAAACCCCTAACCCCTAGACCCTATAACCTAAACCCTGAGAAAGTCCGCGCAAAATGCGAGCAAAAGACGATTCGCGTAGGCCTTCGAAGGCCCCAAAGGGAAGTCGTAGGAAACAGCATCCACATGCAGACGTGCCAAAGTCAATTGATCCAGCGCTGACTTATCCAAGCCATGTAAATCGCACCAAGTGTGAAATCTGCAGCAGAGCTCGCTCAAACCATCTTGCCAAGTCATGTTCTCAGAGTCCCCATGGTATTGCACTACGTCCATCACCATCGAGCCAGAGCAGTCTCTCCCCGGCCCCAGCCAGAGGTTGTGGAGAACCCAAATGGGGGTTTACACAGATAGGGGACCCCTAAAACAGACCCCCAAAGAGTAGATCCCCTTAAAATAAAGGACCCCAGACATGTACCCCTACTTTTGGAAACCCCCAAATTGAGCCGCAAGCTCCTAAACCCTAAACCCTAAAACCTAAACCCAAAACCCTAAACCCTAAACCGCAGCTCTCATAACGTTGCTCTTGCAGCCTCACACAGACCCAAGCGAGGGGGGCAGCGATCACCGCAATGCCCAGACCTGAGCCGAAGGCCCCTGCTGACAGTAAGGATTAGGGTTTAGGGTTAGGGTTTGGGATTTACACGGTTTAGGGTTTGAGGTTTAGGGTTTCAGGCTTTAGGGTTTAGGTGTTTTGGGTTCAGGCTTTATAGGGTTCCTTAATAACTTAAGCTGTGTGATAAGAAATAGCCGAAGAAGTATCACGGCTCCGGATACAAAGGTCCGCAACTTGAGTTAGTATTGTCAGAGAGGTCCTGCTGCTTTTTTTCTGGGAAGGAGGCAATGCTGGTCTTCCGGCAACATGAAGGGGAGGGGGGTTGGGGGGGTTTCAGAGCCTCAAATGTTTCACGGTTTGAGGTCTGGAGTAAACGGTTCTAGGGTTCGGTAGGGCTTCAGCTTTAGTATATTGGGCCTAGCTGCAAGGCATTCTCGGATGCAGGGTTCTGAAGACCCTGAAACCTACAAACCCTAAAGCGGGGACTGCGTGCATCTGTGATGGGCCTTGGAGTTTAGGGTTTAGGGTTTAGGGTTTAGGGTTTAGGGGTTTAGAGGTTTAGGGGTTTAGGTTTAGGGGTTAGGGGTTTAGGGTTTAGGGTTTAGGGGTGCCTCATCCACCGGCCGCTGTATGAAGCCTGCAAGGGTTTCGGCTCATAAAGCAGAGACTGGGCTGAGCCCGAAACAAACCCTGCAAGCTCTCTGAAGTCCGTAGCGACCCTAAACCCTAAACCCGAAACCCCAAATTAGGGTTTAGGGTTTAGGGTTTAGGGTTTAGGGTTTAGGGTTTGGGGTCCTAAATCCACCCTTTCAAGCAACCCTTTCAAGACCCTTTTCAGACTCAAAAACCTGAGGTGGGAAGCCAGCGACCTCCAACAGCCTCACAACAAATTCCAAAAAAGCACTGCCCTCAAAACCTCAAAAGGCCCTCAACCCTCCATAGCCCTGAAAACCCCAAAGCCCTGAAAGCCCTAAGCGCTAAGCCCTAAACCCCTAAACCCTAAACCCCAAACCCCAAACCCCAAACCCCTAAACCCCCAACCCCGGAACGGAGAGCCGCCCTGCTGGGGCTCAAAGCTTATGCCCAGAAAAGTCATCCGGTGACCAGCAGCAAACCAGAGGATCAGAAGCCAAATCTCAGAGCGAAGCTTAGGGTTGAGGGTTTAGGGTTGAGGGTCTCGGGTTTAGGGTTTAGGGTTTAGGGTTTAGGGTTTAGGGTTTCGGGTTTAGGGGGGTCAGAAGCCAAATCTCAGAGCGAAGCTTGAGGATTAGGTTCTAGGGCATGATAAGATTTAGGGGTTTAGCTTTTTTTTTGTTGCGGGGGGGGTATATATGTATATGTAAATTTTGTATATATGTGTGTGTATATATATAGGGTTTAGGTCTTGGCCCTCTTGGGTAGCTCAGAGTTTCGGGTATTCGTTTGATGTTACCATCTTTCTGGCGGTGTAGGCGATTGAGTCGGTGTAGAAACAACTTTAGCATTTTGGGTTGAAGGTGGTTTGGGCTTAGGGTTCGGGGCTTAGGGTTGGGATGTTCACCCTTAGGTATATAGGGACTATGTACGATATATATATATATACATATATATATATATATACATATATATGGGGGGGGGGGTCCCTTCTAGGGGTCCCTCTTTATACCCCTTCAATCGCTGAAGCTTCGGCCCCCCGAGATCTTGAAAGTCTAGCCTCCCCAGCATGGCTCATGAGGGTTTAGGGTTTAGGGTTTAGGGTTTGGGGTTTGGGGTTTAGGGTTTAGGGTTTAGGGTTTCGGGTTTGGGGTTTGGGGTTTAGGGTTTAGGGTTTAAATGGGGCTCATAAGCCCAACACAACCTAGCCCCCCAAACAAACAAAGGGCCACAACGATGCTAGAACCCTTTATCCTGGTAGGGTTTAGGGTTTAGTGTTTGTTTAGGGTTTAGGGTTTAGGGTTTAGGGTTTAGGGTTTAGGGTTTAGGGTTCAGGGTTCAGGGCTAGGGTTGCTTCTATTCTTGCGATCAGGGAGATGAGATGGGCAACCATTTAGAAGCTACCGCCTAACTTAAAGCGGGTGAAGGGGTCAGGGACACTTAAGTCTGTATCCTCAACCCTGGCGGCGTAGGGCCACAAATCCCAAAAACCCTAAATTGACCGCCCGGTGCCCGGAGCTATCGCCCCGGCGATCAAGCCAAAGACGCCCACGATGGCCAGTCGAGTTTTACACCTGCCCAGAGGCCAAATACCCATTAAGCAAAGCTAATGAAGTCTAAGCCCTAGCCCTAAACCCTAAACTCTAAACCCCAAAGGCCAAACCCAAAACCCTAAGTCCCAAACAAACTCTAGGCCATTGCTGAAGGCATGAGTGCATCTCTCAAGCAAAAGGAGTCCTTTGGGCTCGATGTTGCCTGTGCTTTCATGCCGCGCTCTGTCGCACTCGTAAAGGTCAGGACAAAGGCCCCCATGTAGCAGTAGTGATCTGGGGGCCTAAACCCTAAACCCTCAACCCTAACCCCTAACCCTAAACCCTAAACCCTAAACCCTAAACCCTAAACCCTAAACCCTAATGGGTTTCAAGTGATGCAAGATGAAGCTCGATCTGCGGAAAGCAGACCATCGACCACTGTAAAACCTAAGCTGTCTAAACCCCTAACCTGAAAAAGTATTTCATGTTGCTAGTTTGGCTCTGAAAATGTCTGGGGGGTGGGGTGGGTGGGGCACCGGGGCTGGGCTAAACCCTAAACCCTAAACCCTAAACCCTAAACCCTAAACCCTAAACCCTAAACCCTAAACCCTAAACCCTAAACTAAGGCCGCCTTTGCCACTCCTGTTCCCGGCGGAGCCGGCTGGCATGGGCACTGAAGGTTCCAGAGGCCTGGCATGTTGCATCAAAGAGTGATAAAGGGTTTTGGGATTATGTAGGGTTTAGGGTTTAGGGTTTAGGGTTTAGGGTTTAGGGTTTTGTATCAAAGAGTGATAAAGGGTTTAGGGTTTGGGGTGTAGGGTTTAGGGTGTTCTCAAAACCATAAACTACAGTGCTATACATGGTGATGACAAGGTATTTCCGGGATGCGACGCCACCTTTCATAAGTAAGACGTAAAAGGCCCCTTAGTAGAGGCCATTAATTGGGGAGCCCTTGTATACCAGCATAAGACTATGAAACCCAATGGCCCATACTTCAGAATCCGTTACGTAAGGTAAAGGACCGTAGTCAGGGATCATGAAGCTACCCCTAGATACCTGATAGGCATAGGATACTACCAAGCCAGGAAGTCACTTCAAGTTTCTCCAGTCGAGGCCAAGCGTGCCAGAGACGCCACGTTCAGGGTATTGCTTTTGCCTGTCACAGCGCTCATGTTGGTTATCGTATGACCGTGGCCCTTGTTGACTCAGCCGTCCTGAAGCGTACATCGAAATCCCTAAACCGCACCGACAACAGGATCGCTAAACCCTAAACCCTAAACCCTAAACCCTAAACCCTCGTGGGTTTAGCTGCGAATGCCACATTCATGGAACCAATGACGGACCCAGATCTTCCAAAACCCCTTCATTAAGGAATATACCTTAATTCATAACAAGGACCCTTAGTATAACTTAGGGTATATTCCTTAATTATAGGGGTTTTTGGAAGATCTGGGGAATACAGCTCTTAGTTGCGGTGATTCTGGCTGGATGTTGAAAACATATGACTGTACAGGCATGGCTGTGTCTTTGCATTGCACGTATACAATCCACGTAGAATAGGGCTGTAAACACAAGCCATGAACCCAAAAACCTTTAAGCCCGAAGTCCTGAAACCCTTAACTCTGACAAAAAAAACTTTGCCACGCGCACACACACACACACACGCACACACTCACTCACTCACTCACTCACTCACTCACTCACTCACTCACACACACACACACGAACGAGTAGGCAGGGTCGCATGAAGTGCGTTGGGGGGTTTCTATCAGGAACCTTTGCACCAGTAGACCAGTAGACCAGTCGACCCTAAACCCTGAATCTACACCCTAAACCCCAAACCCTAAACCCTGAGACCCAACAAAAACCCCACCTTGACTCCCAAAGCGCAATGGGGTGCGAGGACATTATCATGGTTAAGCCCTAAACCCCAACCTAAGCCCTAAACCCCAACCTAAACCCTCCTTATCAGCCCTCACCCCCCGATCGTCGAACCTTTCGTCCTCGTGCAGGCCCCGCCTTCCAGGTCATGGAGTTGCGCATCGCCTCAGATTCGATAGGGTTGGGTTTTGGGTTTAGGGTTTGGGGTTTAGGGTTTAGGGTTTGGGGTTTAGGGGTTTGGGGTGTAGGGTTTAGGGTTTGAGGTTGAGGGTTTCGGGTTTGGGCTTTAGGGATTACATCTCCGCCACTCCGATCCCCACATGACCACTTGAATGTAGCACATGTTTCCCAAGCTACCCACAACTATGCCCAGCACAACGACAACAAGGTCTATACCAGGGTATTCTGCTGTCCAGGAATTTCAAGCCCGCGTAGAAGAAAAGGAGGCTGCGTTTCATGAAGAATTCCATGGCTCAGGGTTTGAACTCAAGCCCCTAAACCCTAAACGCCAAACCCTAAACCCTAAATCCTACATCCAAACCAAACCGCCAAAACTTAAATTCGAAACTCGAACTCAAATCTTGAACTGCGAACCCCAAACCCTATGGCCCCATGCCCCTCGACCCTATAAGCTGACTTTTAAGGGCCTTGAATCCACTTAGGGAGTTGTCCTGCTAAGACTTTAGACGGCCCGGTGGCGTTCGGCCATAGTTCGCATGTTGTCTCGCCTCAAAGGCCCGAGCTCTGAAAGGGCAGGGAAGGGTTTAGGGTTTAGGGAAACGTTTGAGGGTTTAGGGTTTAGGGTTAGGGGTTGAGGGTTTCGGGTTGAGGGCTTCGGGTTTCGGGTTGAGAGTTCAGGGTTGAGAGTTCAGGGTTGAGGGTTGAGGCCTTAGGGAGTAGGTTTGATTCGGGGTTGAGGGTCTAGGGATTTGGGGTTTCGGCTTGAGGCTTGAGGCTTGAGGGCTTAGAGCTTAGGATGTAAGCCTTGGCGTTTACTGGCTTAGTGGGTTCATGGGTCTTTGGGACTAGGGCTTGTAGGGTTTATCGTTAGTTAAGTTGTTGGGGCTTCAGTGTCTTTGGGTTCGGGTGCTTAGGCTTACACCTTCACCCTAAACCCTAAACCCGAAACCCTAAACCCTAAACCCTAAACCCTAATCGGTCTTCTGGGAAATATTGTACACACAGCGCCTATAACGTGTGGCTCACAGTTTATCGAGCTTCAAGGGAGGGCTGCAAGCTCGAAGAGGCCCATCCAACGAAGACGGGTATTTTGTTCCTGGTTCTTGCTCGGGAATGGGGGAATGAGGGCCCTATATATATATATATATACCCTTTAAAGTGTTATATGGGGCCCCTACTCCCTCATTCCCTCCTTAGATAGAGGCTCTAGATCAAGGCGCTTGTAATGTAGGGGGAGGGAAACTTGGCCTCTTCCACTTCGTGGGTAAGTCTCCTGCATAGTCGGCGTAAGGTTTCGGACTTCTCGGGTTTTGGGTTCTGAGCCAGGGGACCGGCAGCCTTGCCACTGCGTAGGCATAGGCACCCCTTCAGCTACAGGACCACCCAAGCTCGCATGCCTCGGCAGCCCCTGCGTACATCCTTGCCGGTCGCAGCAGCTCGCTTGAGATTAGGCTCGCGCCTCAGCTGCTGCAGCCGCTCGGACGTGACCTCGATGGCGTCTTCCAGCAAGGTGGTGCTGTGGCGATCAGATTCAGCTGTGGTGCGGAATATGACCTCGCGCACGATCTTGGCGAAGTCACCGATGCGACCTTCGGCACCCTTGGCCTGACTTGCCCGAGCATCAGACCCTGCTTTTTCAGATCAGGGGTTTAGGGTTTAGGGTTTAGGGTTTAGGGTTTAGGGTTTAGGGTTTAGGGTTTAGGGTTTAGGGTCTCATTGAGGGGGCGGAGTGACCTGGTTGTATAGGGTATGCAAGAATTTTCTAAGGGGCGCCCATCTAAGGACCCATGCTAAGGGACTAAGGGACCATGTTACTGCACTTGGATAAACCCCAAACCTAAAGCCGAACACCTTGCCCAGCCCACACTGCGTAGATCCACCCTCCAAAAGTACCCAGAACAATTGCCATGCAACTGCAACTGAAGGGTATGTAGGCCATTTTGTATAGAGTGCAAAATTTGAGGGTGTAACCCTCAACCCTAAACCCTCAACCCTCAACCCTCAACCCTAAACCTCTGGGGGCTGGCACATGACACCAATGGCTCCATCCAGGTCGTTCCGCAGCTTGCCAATAGCCTGGCGGGCCGAGGTGCTACTGCAAAAGCGTACATGTTGCGTAGGGTCTAGGGTCTAGGGTTTAGGGTTTAGGATTTAGGGTTTAGGGTTTAGGGTTTAGGACTTACGCTGCAGGGTTTAGGGTCCTAAATACTTAACAAGCACAGCCCCTGCCACAATAGTAGGTACTTGCCACGACCCTGGCAAGACAACCACTGAGTCTCTCCTGCGGATCGCCATTGGGCGGATGTCCCGCCATGGCTGGCTGACTAGCTGCGCAGTTCGCTCCAGCCGCCCAAGCCGTAAAATCACTGGCAACCCTAAACTCTAAACCCTAAACCCTAAGCCCTAAGTTCAGAACATAGGGGGGGGGGGGGATGTTTTTTTGTAGTTGAGGTTAAGTGATATTGGAACATCTGGCTACTTGAGCTGCAGGTTGAGAGTGTCTGTGTTAGTTTGAGGTCACTCTGAGCCCCAAATTCAGCAGACGTGGCACCTTCAGAGATGTTGGGGTTTGGGGTTGGTTTTAGGGGGTTTTAGGGTTTAGGGTTTAGGGCGCGATCTCCCCTGAGGATCCCTGAAAGGGTTACCTAAGGGGTATATGAGGCGGCCAAGGGTTTAGGGTTTAGGGGTTTAGGGCTTCGGGTTTAGGGCTAAATCCCCCAATTCCTAATTCCGCACCGGTAAGTACAGGGTGGTCGAAACTAATCTCCATGAAAAAAGGGCTGACTGGGATGCCTCATCCACAAGGCTCAAAGGTACTTTCCTTTGAGGTTTGCTTTCTTCAGATTTACATAACCCTAAACCCTAACGCCTAACCCCTAACCCCTAACCCCTAAACCCCAAACCCTAAACCCTAAACCCTAAACCCCAAACCCCAAACAAGGACTATAGGTTGGAGCCTTCGGGTTGGGTCCAAGAGGTTTACAGGCTCCGCCTTTTGCACGATCCGGCGAGCACCCGTCACATGCTCGGGGTGATACCGGGGGTGACACTTTCGCTGCGTAGGTCGCAGGGCGCGCTGTGTTGCGGCGGGTCCCGGGCTAAGGGTCCGGGTAAGGGTATAGGGCTTAGTCAGGGTTTAGGGTTCTTGGTTTAGGGTTTAGGGTTTAGGCTTAGGGTTTTGACAAGGGTTTAGGGTCTATAGGGTTTAGTGTTTAGGGTTTAATAGGGGTTCGCCTTCACTGACTGGGTTGTTTGGTTGGTCTCGTGCAGCGCTTTGTGTCATCAGCCCCATAGAACGCCTTGACACCCACAGGAGTACTTGAATAACTTCCTAGTTCTTAGTTACAGAACCACTATTTGCTTAAGAACCCCAGAAGAATGAATAAAAAAGCCTATATTACTCTTATACGGAAGATTTCTTCTGTACTTTCTGGTGTTTCTTAAGCAAATAGTAGATAAGGGGGTCTTTCCGGGGATATACTTGAAAGCTTCCTGGTACTTTTAGGTATGATAGCTGTCCCTAGAGCCCAAGTTAAGGCGGCTGCCCAGTAGCCTGAGAAGAAAGGGGCTCCGTGTTTGAGCTTAGGGTTGTTTAGGGTTTAGGGTTTAGGGCTTAGGGTTTCGGGTTTAGGGTTTAGGGTTTAGGGTTTAGGGTTTAGGGTTAGGGCTACCCCTAAAGCCCCAGAAGTCACGGCCACGGAGGCCACCTGCAACACAAACAACAGCGCCGCAAAGGGGCCGCTCGAAACGAGAGTCTACCTTTCATGGAGCGGCAAGGGTCTACGGTTCGGGGTCAGGGCTCTTTAGGGTTTAGGGTATGTAGGGTTTACGGTTTAGGGTTTAGGGTATATAGGGTTTAAGGTATATAGGGTTTAGGGTTTAATCTTTAGGGTTTAGGGTGTAGAGTCGCATAGGGTCTGTAGGGTCTATAGGGAGCGGGAAGTAAGCAGGCTGCGCCAAAACACAAAGGCTCAAAGGCCCCGCATTGCAAGTTTGCAAAACATAAGCGTATCTGTACGAACATGTATATCAGTATTCTGCACATAGCTGTTCGTCTTTTTTGTGGGCATTTCCCAAAATAGAGGTGCCCCTTCTATACCCCAAATGGAATAGAATCCCCTTAAAGGCACCCCCCAAAAGAGTACCACTAGTTTCGGGAAACCGCATTTATGAAGCTTTACCACCTGGAACCCAGAAACTTCTCGACCCTCGCTCGCGTCTGCGGCTCACGTCATCCCAAGTCCTCGCATCCGTGGTGCACTCTTCGAGGGTTCAGAGCTCTGCGTGGCAACTTCGGGTTTAGGGTTTAGGGCTTGGGGTTAAGGGTTTAGGGCTTGGGGTTGAGGTTTAGGGTTTCGGGCTTGGGGTTTAGGGTACAGGGCTTTGGGTTTCTTAGGGTTCAGGTTTTGGACTTGCGGGTTTAGGGCTTCGGGTTTAGGCCTGGGGGTTAGGGTTTTCAAGGGCGTGTGCCAGCACGTTGCCTAAGTTACCAAGCCTCGGCCCTGTCATCTTACTTTTCACCAAGGCTTGAATGAATGGAAATTGGAGAACTGCGTAAGTACCTTCTGAACCCTAAACCCGAGCCCCCAAACCCCAAACCCTACGACCCTAAACCCAAAACCCTAGAACTCTAACCCTAAAGGGAACATCACTCCCTAAACTCAGCTTTTCAGTGACCCAAGGAAAAATGTACATACTTTTTTTGGGCTACTGACCCCTAAAAGAGGGAACCTAGAAACCAAAACGTAAAACAAGTACAGTACTGAACATCGCTCCCTAAACCCTAAACCCTAAACCCTAAACCCTAAACCCTAAACCCCAAACCCTAAACCCTAAACCAAAAATCTCCACCGGCTAGCTGAAACTCCGAGTTGTCCTGGCCGCTCCAACACCGTTCCATGTGCACCTGCAGAGCGATCTTTAGGGTCTATAGAGTTTAGGGTTTAGGGTTGAGGGTTTAGAGTTCAGGGTTTAGGGTTTAGGGTTTAAGGTTTAGGGTTATACGTAAGGACCCTTGATGGGCTTCATAAGGTGCTAAGTGAAGTACTACATGGAGTTCACCTCGAAGACCCCCATATCGAATCATCTAGCGTCGGCTCGGGAGGGATGTACTTGACCCGATAAGGGTAGAGGGTTTAGGGTTTAGGGTTTAGGGTTAGGGTTTGGGGTTTAGGGTTTAGGGTTTAGGGTTCCTTAGGGTGACTGCGACTGAGCACAAGACGAAGATACTTCAGCCAGACAGGGTGCATATCGGGATGCGAGGTGCTTCATAATGAGATAAGGAACCCTGAACCCTGAACCCTAAACCCTAAACCCTACACCCTAAACCCCAAACCTAAACCCTAAGCCCTCAAACCCCTTTGCCGGGGCTTGCGGCACCCATGGGAGCCAGGGACTTTGCAGCGGTAGAGGGTATCTTGCTTTCTGAGCTCAAGGACAACGCACCTGAAGCCCGAAACCCAGCGACTCCAATACCCCTGAATTCAGGAATATACCTTAAAACGTATAAGGAACCCGAGTAGTATATGTTTCAAGGAATATTCCTTCATCCAGGGGTATGGGAGTCTCTGGGAACATCATCCCCTGCCCCTGAAAGGCCCCTAGAGAAGAATCATGGCTCAGGTCTGCACCAGCTGGTCAATGAGGGATAAGAAGCCGATCTTCTCGTTGCCTCGAAACATCTCTCTTGGAAAGGGGGTTTAGGGTTTAGGGGGTTTAGGGGGTTTAGGGGGTTTAGGGGGTTTAGGGGGTTTAGGGGGTTTCGGGTTTCGGGGTTGAGGGTTTGGGGTTTTGGCCGAAGTGCTTACAGGGTGTTTAGGGAGTGAGGGGGAGCCGGGCGGAGCGTTCAGAAAGAGGCTACCAAAATATGCTCCGTGCTTTGCGCGTTAGTCTCGGCCTCACTACATTGCCACAGAGCCAGTTCCGCCTAAACCCCAAGGACTCAACCAAAACCTTGCGGAACTTTTCCAGAATGAGCCGGTTTCCTAAGTGCTTCAAGTTAGAGTCGTTCTTCACCCCTTCAGGCATGTCCGTATACCACAGGCGGCACTGGCAACAGCAAGCGTCGAAGAGCACTGAAAGCAGACCATAGACCCCTAAACCCCTCAGCCTGAAACCTTAAGACCCTGAGCCCTCTGGGCTGGGTTATAGGAACCCAAAGCCCTGTGCTACTGGGCTTTAAGGCTTAGGGCTTAGGGTTTAGGGTCCAGTCTAAACCCTAAACCCTAAACCCTAAACCCTAAACCCTACGTAAACCCTAAACCCTAAACCCTAAACCCAGGGCACTTCTCTGGGGCACCCGGCCCAGAACTTGCAGCATTCGCATCCGCAGGCCTCAGAAGCGACATGTGAAGCCTTTTGCACTTTTCCGTCCACCTCTCTGACCCTAAACCCTAAACCCAAAACCCCAAACCCTAAACCCTAAACCTCAAACCTCAAACCCTAAACCCTATAAACCCTAAACTCTAACCCTAAACCAGAATCAACACAACAATGGCAATCCTGCATCCTTAACCCTGCGTCTCCTCCAAGCACTGCGGAAAAAACCAAGCCCAAACCCAGAACAAAACCTACATACTCAGACCCGTATCGACCGCATGAGTGCAAAACCTATAACCCCAAACCCTAAAGCCCCCAAACTCTAAACCCGAAAGCCCCAAACCCCGAAACCTTCGCTGCCCTTTTTGAAGCTAATAGCCCCGAAACCCTATAAACCCTAAACCCTAAATCTTCAACCCTAAACCCTAAACCCCAAAATCATCCCGAAAAACCTTTTTGAAGTAAAAACCCCTTTGCAGCCCAAACATGCCCTAAACTGCGCCAGGGAACTGGAAGGCCCCTCGTCGGCGTCCAGGGAAGCCTCTACCAGTCGCCTGCCGCAGATGTAGTTTGTGCGGGTGCTAGGGTCTTGGGTTTGCATGGGGTTTAGGGTTTATTAGGGTTTAGGGTTTAGGAATTAGGAATTAGGGTTTAGGGTTTATTAACTAAAGCATAGTAGGGCTTGGAGCAGCCGATACGCGTGCAAAAAAGGACGTATGAAAAAAAAACACAATGGTGACCTTTCCCGTTCTAAGGGTATACAGCTTCGTCCAGGTATAGGGAGGTTTCCAGATGGCAGATCCATGACAATCCATGACTCGGCACTCCACCGCACCTTGCACCCTATCCCCCTAAGCTCCTTTTTGCCCTACACCCTCCACTTGGCCCTCAAGAGGCATTATTAGTACCCCCTAATACTTAGAATCCCTACTAAGGACTGCAAGTATGAGGGAAACATCCCAACCCTCCAGCCCTAAACCCCAAAAACCCAAAACC